GTCCCGGGACGTGGGGCGGGGTCTCAGCACGCACCGCACACGCGTTTGCCAGCGTCCGGGGACGTGGGGCGGGGTCTCAGCACGCACTGCACTCGTGTGTTTTGAGTGGGCGGTGGAAGACGGCGAAGTGCTGTTAGTTGACCAGACAGTGAATTTCAAGTCTCATCCCTCCTCAGCCCTACCAAAAAATCAAAGGAAAGAACCCCTCTAACCAGAGGCTGTGCTCTCACAATCACGTAAGAGTAAACAGTGTAGCTACTTGAAACTGAAAAGGCCTGGTTGGAAACTTCATTATTATATTAAACAGGTGCCTAATTCCCTGAAAAACCTAAGATCTTCTCAGGTAGGAGTGGACTTCTCAGAGATTAGTTTTCCAAACATGGGCTCAGAACTATTATTATAAACAGTCTTCATGACCCTTTCTATCTGACACATCTGGTGCTCCTGGAAGGGCTGAGTGTGCTCAGCTGGGATGATGGACTCCGTCTGCTTATGGGTCGAGAATTCAAAGGACATCATGCAAACTGAACTTAAGAGTTGGTCTGGCGCACGCCTAGAGGATCTGGCACCTTTTATTCCTTCTTGGCTGCAGAAGAGACCCCTTAGGCTAAGCCTCCCATCACGGAAATTTCCTAAGAGCCCCTGGACAAGAAGAGCAACAATCCTGCCACACTGTTCATCCCCTTCCTAAAACAGATCTGCCTGAGAACGTACCTGTGATGCCCTGTGGTGGTCCTGTCTCCTTTTCCCTGCTCCCCTTTACACCAGCCAGAGAAAGGCCCTGGGGTATAAAAAACTCAGGGAGCCGGCTGGTCCGAATGCAGTGGTGTTTAGGAAAAACTCAGGGTACCAAAGAGCGGACTGAAATGCTGGAACTCTGATTAAGGGGGTGACTAAGACTGGGGGAAAGGTCTTCACCAGGGAAGGAGTTCCCAATTCTTTGCTTCCAAAAGTAGGAGGACTCTAACCAGGAAGCCTTTCCAACTACTAAAAATACTTTTTTCATGACAGAGAACAGGCCAACGTAGAGGATATAACTTGGAAGGAGTTTGAATAAGGGGACAAGTGCTGTAACAAAACTCAGCCTTTAGTCACCTGCTGCTTCATGTGAAGGTTTTAGTGCTTACATCTATACAAAAACAACAACAACAAAAATTGATGATTTTTTGGTTTTTTTTGAGACGGAACCTCAAGCTATCCCCCTGGGTAGAGTGCCATGGCATCACGCTCACAGCAACCTTCAACTCCTGG